CAAAAAATTACCTTGTATTTCTTTTGCATATATTATGTACGTATGTATGTACTTATATTATACATGTTTTTTCCCCTGAGAGTATGTAAGCTCCTTGAGGGCAGGGACTATTTCATTTTTGACTTTGTATCCCCAGCTCCTAGTATAGTGTCCAAGATATAGTGGGTGCTTTAATAAACTTAATAAAGGGGGCAGCTAGGTGGCACAGTGGATAGAGCACCGGCCCTGAAGTCAGGAGTACCTGAGTTCAAATCCAGCCTCAGACCAAACACTTGACACTTACTAGCTGTGTGACCCTGGGCAAGTCACTTAACCCCAATTGCCTCACCAAAATAAATAAATAAACAAACTTAATAAAGCACCCACTGTATCTAAATATAGGTGCTTAGTAAAGCATCTGTTAATTGATTGATGAGTGACAGAGTCAAGATTAAATTCAGGTCCCTTGATGCTGACTCCTGCTCTCTTTCCACACATCTTCCTTCCTTTTCTTTCTCTGCTTTGACCACTTTAGTTCAGGTTTTAGAACCTCATACCAGAACTTTTGCAATAACCTCCTAAGTAGACTCCCATCCTCCCACCTGCAATCCATCCTGAATGCCACAGCCTGATTAATATCCCCAAAATAACAATTTCATCACATTTTTTCCTGCCAAAAATCTTCAGTTCTCCAAGTACTTATAGAATAAAGCCAAACTCTACAGCCTTGCATTCAAGATCTCTACAATCTGGTCCCTATCTACCTTTCCAGCCTCATATCTTACTATTCCCTATATAGATGGTCTGCTCCTGACAGACTGACTGACTCGATATCCCCACCCCCTACCAATGCTGTGCACATCCTCTGCAAATTTAGCTATCCCATTCCTCTGCCTAAAATACTTTCTTTTCCCTCAGCAACATTAGAGAGGCCGAAAAATGTTTTACTGGTACTTTTTTCTTTGTTATACAGTTGTTAATTCCCAGTGACACATTCTTTCACTCTTTCCAACAGAATATAACAAAAAAATAAAATAAAGCAAAGCAAACCAACATATTAGCCATGTCTGACAATTTATGCCTCATTCTACAGCCATAGTCCACCACTTTTGCACTGAAAAGAATGAGCCATTCTTCCCTGTCTGTCCTTATTAGTCAAGATTGATTACTACATTAGTAAAGAGTTCCTCCATCAAACAGTCTTTATGGATAATGGCCAAAGCAACAGAATTTGGGCTAGTGTGAATCATTTACAGTACAATAATATATTTTAAGCTTTTTTTTTCCAGTTTTAGGATCAAAGATCTGAAAGATCTAGAAGAACAGAAAATGGCCTCAATTATTAACAAAACAGGAGCCAAGATGCAAAAAAGGAAACAGTAGCTGAAACAGTGTGGGACATCTCATCAGAACTGCTGAATATTCAAAACATGCATATTTAATTTCTTTTAAAGAAATTATCATGGGGCAGCTAGGTGGCACAGTGAATAGAGCTCTGGACTTGGAGTCAGGAGGACTTGAGTTCAAATCCAGCCTCAAATACTTAATATTTACTAGCTGTGTGACCCTGGGCAAAGCACTTAACCTCGATTGCCACACCAAAAAAAAAAAAAAAAGAAATTATCATCATGAACCTTCCCATGACTATAAGCTGAGTCCTCCTTCTACATTTTTTTTACTGCAATAATCAAAATATTGATGTTTTTCAATAATTTTTTTACATTATTGTGACCACTGTGTGGATTATTCTCCAGACTCTGCTGACTTTGCACCATATCAGTTCATACATCCTCCAAAGATTCTCTTAATTCTTTGCATTTGTCATTTCTTACAGTTCATTAGTATTCAATGACATTCATGTGCCACAGTTTGTTTAGCTACGAGCACTTCCCAGTTGATGGCACCACTTTGTTTCCCTTTCTTTTGCCACAAATACTGCCATAGATGTTTATGTGAAATCTTTGTCTCTATCTTTGATGTCCTCTGATAAGGTATCAGTTTTAATGGCTCTACAGGCATGTTCAGTTTAATACTGTGCCAAGTATAATTCACCCCTAATCATTCTCTAAGGAGCAGTTCATGTTACTCATGCAGAAGAGGGATTATACGTGTTCCACTAAGCCCTAGAGGGCAGAAATTGATAGAAGTTTGTACTTGTTATTCAGTGGTGTCCAACTCTTCATGACCGTATTTGGGTTTTTTTTTTGGCAAAGGTACCCTTTGCCATTTCCTTCCCCAGGACATTGTACAGACAAGGAACTGAGGCAAAGTTAAGTGACTTGCTTAGAGTCACAGAGCTAAGTGTCTGAAGTCAAAATCGAACTCATGAAAATGAGTCTTCCTGATTCCAAGCCCGGCACTCTGTCCATTGTGCTACCTAGCTGCTCATTTTCTTGGCAAAAATACTGTAGTTGTTTGCCATTTCCTTCTCCAGCTCATTTTACAGATGAGGCACTGAGGCAAATAGGGTGAAATGACTTGCCTAGAGTCACACAGCTAGTGAGGGTCTGAGTACAGATCTGAACTCAGGAAAATGAATCTTCCTGACTTCAGACCTGGTACTCTATCCACTATACCATCTAGCTACCCCTAACAGACAGAAGTTACAAAGAGGAAAATTTAGGTTTGATGAAAGAAAAAATTTCCTAATAATTAAAGTCATTTAAAGGTATAATGAGCTGCCCCAGAAAGTAATCAGCCTAATAAACATGGAGGCCAAGCCTAGGGATTTAACATAAGGAATCCCTACCAGTTCCATACTCTGTCTTCTCAGGTATGAATCCTTGCCTTTCTCAGTATAAGAATTCGATTCTAGGTAGGACAAACGGTCCTCTTCCACTCTGGCCCACTTCCAAGGAGAGTGAACCCACCGCCCCTTGAGGGAGCTCTCTTTGTTAGGAAGTTTGTATTGCCAGAAGAAAACTGAATCCCGTTAGCCCAAATCCTGCTGCTTTGGCCACCATCTATAGAGATTGTTTGATGGGGGAACCATTTCTTAAAGTGGTAACCATCCTGGCAAGGATTCAAAATGGGAGAAGAGACTAGAAGCAGAGATAGACTTCAAGATCCTGGAAAATAAGGACTGGGCCTTCTGACAGGGCTCAGCCTACAGGGGGCATTCACAGGATCATAAATATAAAGCCAGGCGAGACCTCACAGCTCATCTCATCTATCCCCTTCACTTTACAGATAAGGATACTGAGGATTAGAGAGTTTCAATGAACAAGTCATCAAGTCAACCTGCATCTTACTGTGCGCCAGGTACTGAGATAAGCTCTGGAGATACCAAGAAAGGTAAAAAAAAAATTTTTTTTAAATCCGTAGTTCCTGCCCCTACCTTCCATCAAAGAGTTCACCTACTATTGGAGAAAGAAAACATGTAAAAACCACATCCACACAAAATGTATGAAGTGAGGATGGGTGAAGAAGGCACAATAGGTAGGAGGGATCAGTAAAGGCCTTCTGAAGCAAGTAAACATTGAGCCAAGCCTTGAAGGAAGCCAGGGGAGCCAAGAGGTGGAAACCAGGAGGAAGAGCATCCCAGGCATTGGTGACAGTCAGTGAAAAGTCATGGAGTGCCATGTCTGAGGAATAACAAGGAGGCCTGTATAGCTGGACAGCAGAGTACATAGAGGGTATGAAGTGTAGGAAGTCTGGAAAGAATGGAAGGAACCAGGTTATTAAGGGTTTTAAAAATCTTTTAAAGAGAGGATTTTATATTTGATTCTGGAGGTAACAGGGAGCCATTGGAGTTTACTGAATGAGGAATGGGATGGGGATATGGTCAGACCTATGCTTTAGGAAGATCGTTTTGACAGCTGAGTGGAGGATGGACTGGAGTGGGGAGAGACTTATGGCCGAGACCAACCAGAATATTGCTGTAATAGTCCAAGTGTTAAGTGATTTGTCCAAGGTCATAAAGGTTCTAAGTGTGGTCTACATTAAGAGGGGTATAACTTCCAGGAATAGGGAAGTGATAGACACACTGAACTCTGCTTTTTCAGACCATACAGAATATGGGGTTTAGTTCTGGGCACCTCAGTTTAAGAAAGATATTGATAAGACAGAGAGTGCCAAATAAATCACGTAAGTAAGCATTTATTAAATACCTACTACATGCCAGGCACTGTGCTAGGCCCTCGGGATACAGGTACAAAGAATGAGACAATCTTTTCTTGAAAGGAGATTACATTCTAATGGAGCAGACAACAAGCACATAAATTGATCAATCAATCAATAAAAATAAATGAATTAATAAATGAATGAATGAATAAAAGAAAATTATGCTCACACAACATATACATGTATATGTGTGTGTGTATCTGTGAGTCATCTGCATAGACACAATAACTAAGATGGTAAAGGACCTTGAGTCTGTGTCCTATGAGGTCTTAGGATCTGATTAGCTAGAGAAGAGAAGATTCAGGGGGCACATAACAGCAGTCTTCAAGTATGTGAAAGAACAATCAACCTTGTTCTGACTAGTCCCAGAAGGGCAGAATCAGAACCAAAAAGTGGAAGTTACAAAGAAGAAAATGGACACTTATGTCCGGAAAAACTTCCTAACAAGGAGAGCTCCCTCAAGGGGTAGTGGGTTCACTCTCCTTGGAGGTCTTTAGGCAGAGGCTGGAGGACCATCTGTCCAGTATGTTATAGTAATGAACTACCCTAGAACTAAATTCTTAGACTGAGAGAAGAAATCAGCCTAGTAGACACGGAGGCCAAGTCTGGAGATGTGCCCTAAGGCAATTCCATGCTACCTTTTCACAGGTATGGAAATACCTAAACCAGGACAGTTGAGCTGGGTCAGCTCAAAGGAAAGAAAGGATCATGGGTTAGAGAGCTGAAAGTAATCTTAAAGGTCATCTAGTCTACCTCTTTCATTTTACAGATGAGAAAACTGAGACCCAGGGTGGTTGAATTTGGTCAAAGGTCACACAACCATTGAGAGACAAAGGTGGGATTTGAACCCAGGGCTTCTGACTCTAGCTTAGCCCACCTCACCCATGCCCATCTCTTACCTGGATCTCTGTCTGCACAGTGCACTTGACCAACTTGAAGTTCTTCCCAGGGTTGAAGCTGTTGCTGTAGAAGCAGACCTTGAGGATCCGCACATCCTCCTTCTCCACGTCCACAGGCACTACCACCACAGGCTCTGGGGGGATGTCGGGCCGGCGCAGGGTGCCCACCCTCACCCGGCTCAGGGGCTCGGACACCCCAGACATGCTGCCAGAGGACAGCTAGGGCCAGCGCATCTCAGTCCTGTTAGGAGACAGCAAAGGGAGGAGCCTGCGTGAGACTCGCTATAGAGCAGCTCCCTCCCCAAAGTGAACAAACCCAGGGCTCCACGTACCCAAGGGCCATCTCCTGCCCTTGCAGCTTTCCCTGGACAGCAGAGAGGTGTAGAAAAATGATCCTTTCTACCTTACAGATCAGAGAACTTGAGATAAACAATTACAGCACAGGTCACTGAAACACGGAAGGGGAGCCTAGAAGAGAATTTTGGGAATATCTACCAGGGGTGGGGAACCTGCAGCCTCTAAGCCGCATGTGGCCTTGAGACCACAGGTTCCCCACCCCACCCCTGGACTATACCTTTCTACCCGAGAGTAATAGACACCCTTTGGAGACCCAAACCACCACTGAGAGTGAGAGTTGGAGGAATATTAGAAGGGGTGCTATGTGAGTATATTTACAAAATCTATAGTGTGTCCAAAAATAAATTCACTATCCTCTATTCAAAACCCATGGGAAGTAGGCCAGAAACGGTGCTAGATTTGGAGTCAAAATACCTAGGTTCAAATCCTGACTCTTATTACTTATCACCTGTGTGACCTAGGACAAATTATTTCATCTCTTTGGACCTCAATTTCCTTATCAATAATAATAGGTAAGATTTACTCAGAATTTTTAAGTTGTTCAATGCTTTACATACATCAGGTTACTTGATTCTCACAATAACTGTAAGAGGTAAATGTCACAGGAACTTTTATATGCATTATGTAGAAAAAGAAACCAAGCTTCAGAGGCCTGCTCATTGTTGTTGTTGTTTGTCCTCAAAAAGGACCAGGGAGGTGATGTCATGACTTGCAAGTAAATTAGATTTAAGTGAGGCAGGGCTATGCAAAGTCACCAGCCTCACTTTCTCCTCTGGAGC